ACTAACATGCCATAAACAGTGGTTGATAAACAGTTCTTTTTTTTTTTTTTTTTGCCACATCGTGCAGCATGTGGGGAATTAGTTCCCTGACCAGGGATCGAACCCATGCTCCCTGCACTGGGAGTGTGGAGTCTTAACCACTGGACCACCAGGAAGTCCTGATAAACAGTCTCTTCTATTTGATGACACATGTGTTTGACCACAGGTGACTAGAGAAGTGATGCTGGTATAATGGGGCACTGATGGTAATTCACATGTGATTTTTCCCACCACATGAATGTTTTTGAGTGATCAGGGACAAGGTTTCAGAAGATTAAAGAGAAAATATTAAAATCTATAGAGTTGTCTTTAATCAAGTAGTGACCAGTTTCCTGGCTTCAGCAACCCCTACAGTTTCCATCAAAGCAAAGTCCTGGTGAAGCTGCCAAAACTGAGATGCTGAAAATGATTGCCTGACTGGTGTGTGTGCAATGGTATTTGCTTAACTGTGTCCATGTACTTAATAGGACTACTGTGAAGTATTCAGATTACTTTGTTATTTGATCACTAAGTTCCATCTCCTGCATCCCAACCCCTATCGGTTTTTGAATGATTTGCCCCAACCCTATTTTTTCCATAAATCCTCCTAACGTGAGATATGCAAACTGTGAAGTGTTTTAGGAACACGTATATGATGCTACCACAGGTTTCTCTGTCCACGGGATTCTCCAGGCAAGAATACTGGAGTGGATTGCCACCCCTTCCTCCAGGGGATCTTCCCAACCCAGGGATCAAACCCAGGTCTCCTGCATTGTAGGTGGATTCTTTACCTCCTGAGCCACCAGGGAAGCCCAACTTGTGTAATTGTGGCCAATTTCCTGTCGACTCCTCTGTCATGTGGGTAATAACAACAGTTCTTACCTCAGAGAGTTACTATGAGGCTTAAATGAGTTAACTCATAGAAAGTGCTGGATTGAAACTGGGTATACAATTACATGACCTGGTCTTTTTTTTTTTTTTTTGAGTTTTTATTAGAGTACAGTTTTATTTAGTACAGCTTCCCTGGTGGCTCAGAGGTATAGCCTCTGCCCACAATGCAGGAGACTCGAGTTTGATCCCTGGGTCAGGAAGATCCCCTGGAGAAGGAAATGGCAACCCACTCCAGTACTCTAGCCTGGAAAATTCCGTGGGCTACAATCCATGGGGTCGCAAAGAGTTGGACACGACTTCACTTTCACTTTTCACAGTTGATTTACCATGTTCTGTGTTTTAAGTGTACATCAAAGTAAATCAGTCATATACATACATAGACCCACTCCTTTTTAGGTTCTTTTCCCATATCGGCCATTACAGAGTAGTGAGTAGAGTTCCCTGTGCTGTAGAGCAAGTTCTTACTAGTTACCTATTCTGTATATAGTAGTATGTACTGTCAGTCCCCATCTCCCAATTTATCCCTGCTCCACAATGAGGTTTCAGTAAGTGTCATCTTGTTTAGTTGGCATTTTAAAATGTAACAGTTTTCAAATTTGGGTTTTAGGACAAAGATATTATTGAGGCAGTCAATCACATTGCTGACTGTTCGGGTAAATTTAAATTGTTAGAGCATGCCTTACGTGATGCTAAGATGGTGGAGACCTGTATTGTGAAAGAAAAGCAAGATTATAAGCAGAAATTGAAGGCACTTAAGATTGAAGTCAATAAATTAAAAGGTAAGGAAGAGGCCTAAATGTAGGTGTTTTATCTTGGGAATGTTTCTTCATTTGAGTTCACCTAATCTGATAACTGGGAAGAAGGCTGTTGTTAGCTTTAGGTCCCATTATGAAATGTTCATTTCATTTGTATAGAATTAATGCAGCAGTTTTTGTGTTACAAGATAAATAGCAAGAGTTGGGGAAAACTGCCTAATGCATCATATTTAAAAAATAATCCTGCCTTTGCTGTACCAGTTAACTATTGCTACTATATGCCTTGTGGCAACCAACGAAGGTATCTCAGTGGTGTCCTTTGATAAACTCATTTATCTGGAAGCCACTAGGGAATTGCCTGATCTCTGTTGGGCCCACTGGAGCATCTTTTCCCTGGTTGGGTAGTGTGGGCATTTCTTCCCATGGTGAAGGCAGAAACTTAAGAGAGGAAGTGGAAAGATAGGAGGGCCTGGCCCGCCATCACGTGCCCTTCATTCTGTGGCCAACGTGAATCACATGGCTGAACCCAGAGTCAGGCAATGGAAAAATATCCTCTGCCCTTTTGTGGGAGAAATTAAAAAAAAAAAAAATTGAGGAATGAATGCAGGAGGAATAAGGAGTTGCCGCCTACAACAGACTACCAGAGTGGCTATTCAGTGCGTGGTCTGTTTGGAGGAGAATTCCTTTTGTGTCTTCCTTTTTCTGTTTTCATTCTCAGTAACTCCATGGTTTATTCTACTCCTTGAAGTTTTCTAATGAAATGAAGCCTGGGTACAGCAGATAGGTTAGTGCTACATACTTAGAGGTGGATCTAGGTGATAGAGTAAAAATTTGCATTTGTCTTCAGAGGGTACAGAGGGAGGCCCACTTGTCTCTGGCTTTTCCCAGCTGTATCGCAGAAGAAGCTGTTGGATTCAGGAGCTATCTGGGTCTCAATTCTACACCCAGATGATCACATTTGTAAGTGGTCATCAGTTAGACATGAGGACTGACTCACACAGTGGAATAGGCAGCCTTACTTAGAATGACAAAGCGGTGCAATGGTGTGGTTATTCCGTCTCTATCCGAGGTGGGGCCCCTTGTGAGGCAGGGAGTCACTGTTGAAATTGGGAAAGGTTATTGTGACAGGTTTAGTTTAAAAGACTCCACCTGCTAAAATCTTGTTCTAATCATGCCCTGACTCCTGGCAAATGATAATTTTGTGTCCATTTGTAGCTTCATCTAAAACCATAATCCTACTATAAGCCCCTTGACAGCAGGGATGGACTCTAATAGCAGCCCTTGGAGTACATTGCAGGCATTCAGTAAATTTATTGAATGTTATGTATACCTAGGTAAGATTAAAAGTAAAAAGAAGTCTGTTTTATCAACTTTTACACCTTATTTTAGAAATTTAACATTTGTTTAAATAAAATAAAAACAGGGTCATGGATAGTGAGCCAGAAAGTAAGGGACAGAGACTCATTTAGTTTGAGTGCACTGGAAAGACATCTTCGAAGAGAACATTTGAGCTGAAACTTGGATGATGAAAAGAACTAGTCATGTAAAAATCCGGGCCAAGATCTTCCAGGCAGAAGAAACAGCAAATGCAAAAGCCCTGGGGTGGGTTCAGAGGTTGGGGCAAGTGAAAGGAACAGATTGAAAGGACAGGGCCAGGCTGTACAGGGCTTAAGGTTATGAGTTTATATTTCATCCTAAATGTAGTATGAGGGCTTTTAGCAGAGAAGTGATGCCAGCAGGTGGCCCTGATGGCTCTGTGGACATCAGGCTGCAATGGGAGAGGCAAGATTCGTGCAGGGAGACAGTGGGGAGCCTTGGCCAGGACCACTGCCAAGCATGCAGTGAAATGTCAGATATTGGGACTTCATATGGATTGGAAGTGGGTGCTAAGGACATGAGAGGTATTCACAGTGTATATTCCTCTAGAAACTAGTATTTATTTGAGGACTTTCTCCCCCTTCTATTTGTGAAGAGGATCTAAATGAAAAGACAACAGAAAATAACGAACAACGAGAAGAGATCATTCGCCTCAAGCAAGAGAAGAGTTGCCTGCATGACGAATTGGTCTTTACTGGTAAAAATAGATTGTTTGTCTAAGTGATTGAATAGTTATATATTTTGTAGCCTGTACTTTCTTTGGTACTACCATGGTGGGCTTTGCCTGCCTCAAAATACTATATCTATTTATGTAATTAATTTTAACACCCTTTGAGAAACAAAGAGAGACCATGCAGGTCATTTTAAAGCTGTCATCATACTTCCCAGTTAACTCAGTTTTCCCTTCTGTAAAATGAGGAGCTGCTCTCCCTTCCAACTTGAGTATGTGACTATACTTCTTACTAAAAATGTAACACTTGGCTTAAAAATTCATTAAGAAAGAATCTTATGAGCCAAAGAAGGGAGGATGTTCATACTTTTGCAAACACTAGGTAAAAATTAGGAATTCAACATTTTTTCAGTTTTCCAAATACCCATAATTATTACAGTTGGAAAACTTCATGTGTTTTGTTACATCAGTATGACCCCAAAATAATAATATTGGAGATGAATTGTTCATGATTTGAAAGCAAGTTTGTCAGTAATGTGTAATGTAAAAATTGCACACACACTTCTTCACTGGCTGCCATATTCTCCTGCACTTTTAACCCCAATTCACCCCAGTATGTTAGAGTATGTAGCTCCTCCTTTCTCTACTCCCAACTGAGAATCATTGATAAATAGATCTGATCCATTATGGCTGGATCTATATATGGCCTTGCCAGCCAAGATTTTTTTAGACTTTAATTCTGGTAGTTTGTATTAAGAAAATCATAAATTTGGAGATAAAGTTCCAAATAGAAATTAAATGCATATTTTTGGGTCTACTCATACATTCCCTCAATGTTCTTCCTTCTAGGTAGAGAATACATTTCTATAAGTTAAAGGACAGGATACAGTATTACATTTTTTTCGAAAGAAAGTGGAATTCTTTTTTTTTTGGAAAGTGGAATTCTTAATTTTAATCTCGTGTGATTAAGATAGGAGAAACGCAGTTTTCTACCACTAGAGGTCACTATTTCTGTTATTTCTAGGATTGCTGTGTTTCAAAGCAATACTGTCCTATGCAGCATGCACACAGCTAAAGATACATATATAAAGATAGACATGTATTTGGACGTATACATAAAGATATGTATATTTGTAGCTTTACAGTTGAATTCACACAATCTTTGGATCAGCATATATGTGCCAGGCACTCTGTTAGTGACCAGGAAGCTCAAGGCCCACAGAGTTCAGTTCAGTTCAGTCCAGTTCAGTCGCTCAGTCATGTCCGACTCTTTGCGACCCCATGAACCGCAGCACACCAGGCCTCCGTGTCCATCACCAACTCCCGGAGTCCACCCAAACCCATGTCCATTAAGTCTTAGTGTTACATAAATGCTATGAATAAAATGCTATGAAAGGTCAGCAGATGGAGAAAAATTTACAAGATATTTAATAAATAACCTCCTTTTCTTTTGGTTCATCTATTTCTACTCATTCTGTGAGGTATTACTAGGTAAAGTATATGTAATTTGTTGGCTAATACTCCAATAAATCCATTTTGTGAAATAATTTTTTAATCATTTCCTAAGCTTATTTCTTAAACACTTTTTTCTGCTCAAACCACTGTCTCAGAACAATTTTTGTACGCTTAAATGATAAAAGTGAATTACACCTAAAAATAAGTTTTAAAGGCTTAACCTGATAATGTGCTCTCAGATGCCATGGCTGAAAATTAACACATTTTATTTGAGATTGGAAGATGCCTTAGAAATGTACTTTTAATTCAAAACTTCATTTTCCCTCTTATTTGAAGTTCTTCACATAGGCTTAGAGACAGGTTTCATTTGTACATGTTGCTTATAAGAAGTTTTTTAAAAAAAAACATGATGCTAGTTTACATTTCTGTGGTCCTGAGAGTTCTGTAAGACTGAGTGAAGGTCTTTCAGGCAGTAAAAGGCATAGCGGCTTGATCGGAGCTCAGCAGGTCCAGACTTCCAGCACCCCTTCCTTTATGCTGCTGTGCTTAGGCAGTTGTCAGCAGAGAGTTCCATATCTCTTTGTTTTCAGTAACCAACTTGTGAAAATAGGCAGAACCACTCCACTTTGGTCCCTAGATAATCCAGCCATGTAGGAAAGTGTCAGATCTAAGGAAACAATTCTGTTTTATGCAACAGTAGATTATTCTAAAGACAAATTAAGGCAGTACTGAAGTACATTCAGAATCGCCCTTTCAATGCTAGATAAAGTCATTAGCTTTTGTTTAGGGGGCCGTGCTGTGCCCTAAAGAAGTATCTCTAAACACTGGGAAGGCACCAGCATGTTAGATGCTGTTAAAAACCAGAGGTGGGTAGAACAGAGGGCAGCCAGGAGACCTAGACGCCCTATAGGCATCACTTCCTCTGTGAAAGGAGCTATGGCCCCTCTTTTATTGTTTTCTTTGTGCATAGGATTGAATTCATACAAACTAAATGGGGCTTCATAAATATTGCAAGTGCACTACTTTTTTAGGCTTTTGTTATGGTGTTGACTCATCTAATGCAAGGAAATAAATTCAGGAATGAGGAGATGTAGTAGTTTAAACCCGAGGCGGTGGCTTTTACTATGCCATGTCCTCCATTCTGTGCAGGAGGATTACCTTTTTAAAAGTAAGATGATGCTACAGACCTGGGTTGGGAGGGCTGAGCATTAAGTGTGCTTGGGTAGGAAGTGGTGGCTTTTCACAGGTCACTCCTCATGCTTTATTCCACCTGGCCTTGCCCTGATTACTAGCAAGCACTTGGCAGAAAAGCTGTCTAGGTAGAGTCTCCGTCCCCAGCGAAGCTCATGCCTTTGTCCTTGGATGGTTTCTGTGATGTTCCAAATGTAAAGCGATGGTAAAATAAATATTGTATTCTTCATCCATGAGAAAAATGACATGTGGAAAAGGAACTATTAATAAACCATAGGAGTTGCACATTTTGACTTAGGCTGCCTCTGATTGACTCAAAATCCATTCATGTAATAGAGGGCCATTTTGTGCATTTCATTTGACCTTCTTATAAAGATAGTGGGTTTTTTTTTTAGGTGAAACATTTACTGTCGATCCCTCACTTCTGTGTGAATGAAATGATTTCTCCTTAAGCATAATACTAATATTTTTTCTGGTGCAAGTCTTCATGTAGAGCTTTAGATCTTTCCTTTCTGTGGGTTCTCATTTGCCAAGTTCTGAAACTGTTTTAAAAATATTCCAACCCTAGTAATAATGAAGTGTCCCCATTTCAGCAGAATGTTTATGGTCTTTATAAGATGGAGATTAAAAAAAAATACCTTTTTGTCTTTCTGAGCTGGGAAGTTGAATGTAATACTCAAGTGTATATTCAAGACAATTCTGAATCTTAATTACCTATCAGGTAAAAAGAGTTTTCAAGAAATAGAAAGTCTGTAATGGGGTCCTGGGCTTTCATTAAAATGGAAAGACAAGTTTCTCTACCTATGGGGTCACCTCATAGGGTCAGGTATCTTAAGTCTTTGGTTTGCAAGATCACATAGGAATAGCCTGATTGTGAGATTGTATCAGACTGACTTACATACTGATGAAAACAGTGATTTTTTTTTCTTGCCCCTTGTAATGTTAGTTTTTTTTCTGTTGATAAAAGGAATATGTTGTTTGGATTTTTATAAGGAAAATGCATTTATAAGTTACCTGTGTAATGTGAATAAATAAGTAAAGAATAAAGTATTAAATTTTAGAGATTTAGAACTCATCCCCTCCCCCAAAAAAGGAAAACAATTTTCTTTAATCCTTACATCTAAAAATGACTTCTTTTGATATTTCAGTGTACTTGCCGTCAGCCTTTTTCAATGCATATATGTACATACAGACACACACATGTCATTTGATCATAGAGTTTGTACAGTTTGGAATACTTTTTTGACTTAGCATTAATTATATTGCAAAAGTTTTCAAATTTGGTGAAGGATCTAGTTAGAATCACAGATTAAGCTTCTTCCCAGGCATCCATTTTGCAATTTTAAAATTCAGAAACGAGTGGGGAAAAAAATATTAGCCATGTGCACATTCAGTTGTCAGAAATGAAGAGGTGTGTATTGATGTGGTTGGTGAAAAGTGTTTTAATAATATTTGTTCTTAAATAGCAGAGAGAGAAAAAAGGAAAGATGAGTTACTTGATATTGCAAAGTCAAAGCAAGAACGCATGAATGCAGAATTGCATAATCTGAGACAGGTACGTCCCCACTCTTCACTATTAAGTGGGAAACATAAATTAGGAAAAGTGTATGCCTGGTGATTTTGTTTATGGTGCTTCTGGAATCCTATTTTAAAGGTGTATCAGTCATATTAACCTCGCAGATAGAGTCTTGCTTATAGTAAAGGAGACTAGTTAGACTAACAAATCTTGGTGCTAACATAGGAAAAATGAAAGCAAACATATTCAGCGTATGTCTTTAGCCGCTGTCTGATACGTTTTAGCACCTGAAATGCCCAATTGTTGGCTTGCTTTAGCTTTGTCGTTACACTTTGTATTGATTTATCAATATCTATGGCAGATTTACGTAAAACAACAGCATGATCTGCAGTTTCTTAATTTCAATGTGGAAAATTCTCAGGAATTAATACAGATATATGACTCAAAGATGGAGGAATCAAAGGGCGTGGAATCCAGGTAACCTTAGTAAGATGCCATTAATATCATATTGTATTTATTCCATCATTCATCAATATTTAAGTACCTACTATGGGTCAGTACTTACTACTCTTCCCTAGATAGCAGGGAGTAAATGGGAATAAATATATGTGAGCTAATAATTATCATTCTAATCCTGGGTTGTAGTGAGACTAGATTTAGAATTTTAGGCATGATCCTAATTAAACTATTTGATAAATTTCATTAAATACATTATTTGTGTGTGTGTATGTGTGTGTGTGTGTTGTATAGAAGGCTTTGAGGTAAAGTAGAAATTACAGAGATGAATCATTTATTCAGAACTCTCAGTATTTTAGGCACTGGGCTAGAAACAGGGAAAATAAAGATATACTAGGTATAATACTTACCTAAAAGAAAGAACATCAGAGAATGGTAGAAATAACTGCAGTAGAAGTTCAGCTGAGGGTGACCTCTGCTTGCAGCTTGATTTTTCCATTTTCCTTATTAATAGAAGATATCTGCTCTTACCTATAACAGGCAGTATGTGAATTAAATTGGTTTCTTTAAAAGTATAATATAAACATATGAAGAGTGGTTTAATTTAACAAGCATACAACTGTCCCACAGTTCAGTTTAATCCACTTATTCAGCCGAAATAGTAAGGGAGTTGTGGAAAGGAGGAGGCGTTCAGGGAATTCCCACCTCTCCACCTAAGGGCAGAAGCTGGACCCAGTGGTGCAGCTCCTCTCCCTAGGAGGGTGGGGTTCAGGGCCGGGAGTGGTCAGGAGTTGCAGGGTTTTGCTGCAGACAGTAAGACTGGGGACTCACCCCACACTTTGCTACATTGGCTCTGCTTTTCTTCGAGGTCTTTTACTGGGGGTTCTAACACCATCGCTTTGTATCCCAGCATCTGCAGCTGCTCCTAATAAACACCAGACCAAGCTGGCGATCTCCAGCAGGCAGAAGCCCCTAACCAGTTGTATCTCTTTCCTTTTTGTACTTCATTTCCTCTGGGAGGCACCTGGCCTAGATGATTGAGGTTATTCTTTAAGAACATAAAGTGACCTTTCCCATTCTAGAAGGAGAATCAGAATCATATAGATTAGAACACCTGAACACATGTGACATGAGAATTTTAACAGGCAATGTATTAAAAGGTTTATCACAATGATTTTTATTTTATGCACGTGTGTCATTTTTACTTTAGACTGGTTTTCAATGCATAGCTACATAGGCATGCTGCAGATAAATGGGATAGTCATGAATACATTGTAAACACATCTGGCACTGTCCAGTTTATCTCTATACCTTGAATCCCCATTGCCTTTCAGTCCTGGCTTTAGCTCTGTTTACTGTGGAACTAATAGAGTTAGGAAAAGAAATAACAGATCGATCAACAAGTATTTACAGAACACTGAGTGTGTATTAACACCCGTCCTAGGTGCTAGGGGGATTAAAAATGGCTTCATATGTGAAAAACACCCTTAGGCATCTTCAGACAAGACACTCATGTATGAAACAGTGAGCCATACAGTTGTAATAGGAGAGGCTCACTCTGATTAATTAGATCATATATGCAGTAAGATAGTCATTTGCAGTATGGACAGTATGGACAGTAGACCTTAAGGATGGGTCATGGGGGAGTGGGCACATGGGCTTGGTGATCAGAAAGACTTCCTGGAGGAGGCTGGGCGAAAATTGGGCTCCGAAGAATATAAAAAGTCTGCCTTCTATTTTCAACTGAGACAAATGGGTCTTATTAGGGTTTAGCTCAACTGATGAGGTTTGAGTGAAATATTTAGAATGACAGTATCAAGTGTATCTTATAACTTCCCGTTTTTTGTAATGCCACCATAGCAGAGACATGTGTTTATCAGACCTTGAAAATAACCACCTAAAAGTCGATTTTAAGAGGGAGAAAAATCAGAAGTCACTGGTTAAGGACCAAAAATTTGAGACCACGTTGGTTCAGCAAACTAGGTCAGACAAGAGCTCTTGTGATGTATGCAAAGAGAAGAAACTACAGGTTAATACTTCATTTGGGGGAAAAAGTGTAATTGCTATCTCATCTCTATTTGCAAAAGACTTAGTGGAGAAACAAAAGTCTTGGTCTCTGGGAGGAAAAATCCAGATTGAACCCGAAAACAAAAGTACATTTTGCAAGATCCACGCAAAATCACACAAAGGGAATGGAATTGGGATTCAGAATGAAGAGAAGCAACCCTCAGAAACATCAACATCTGTATCTGATGATAAATGGCATGATGTCAACGTTTACCTGGGCCTAGCCAGCTGTTCTGATTCAAAACAGCCAGAAAAGCTGGATGTCGACTATCAGGACCACCTAGAAAGGCCTGGAGTCTCCTGTTGCCACAAAAATGAAGCCTGTGTGGATGAAAGCGACATGTGGGAGTCCAAGTGCTGCCACCCGAGTAACTTCATAATCGAAGCGCCAGGCCACATGTCTGATGTGGAGTGGATGAGCATCTTCAAGCCTTCCAAAGTACAGAGGGTCGTGCGCCACAAGTCCGTGTGCACCTGTTCAGAAAGTGCCAGCAGGACCAAGTACAATTCTTCGACAAGGTCAGTCTCCTTTCACCTTTGTAAACACCCAGGGAGCCTGCTTGGTGCTGTGGTTTAGTTGCTAAGTCGTATCCAACTCTTTTGCGCCCCATGGACTGTAGCCCGCCAGGTACCTCTGTCCATGGGATTCTTCCAGCAAGAATACTAGAGCGGGTTGCCATTTCCTCCTCTAGGGGATCTTCCTGACCCAGGGATTGAACCCACGTCTCTGCATTTTCAGGTGGATTCTTTAACCCCGAGCCACCAGGGAAGCCCAGGGAGCCTACTTACTGAGTTTAGAAATAGAAAAGGCCTGCAGGAGCCACTTCTGCCAACTGTGAAATGAAAGCAGTATTTGCAACAGACATTGCGTTTGACACACCGCTTCCTCTTTTCATCACAGCATAGGCTGTTGAGTTTTTGATTGCACAGAGACTGATTCCAGTGAGAAGTTTGTGCCTAGGACAGCATCTGAGGCAAAGGTTTTGCTTAACAACACAGTCAGTCGTCATGAGCTGAGCAAACATATTTTATTTTAAAACAAACGGGGAGGTCACTTCACCGAGTACAATGCTGCTCTGGGGCATTCCTCAGCCTGGATCCTTTTGAATCGATAAGCTGTTTCTTTCATGTCCAGATTATATTCCCTAGACCCCAGATAAGACATTCTCCTGGCCTGCATTGGCTTATTGATACATCCAACTGCTTTGGCCTTTGTGTTCAGTTTACATCTCCCAAACTTCCTTACTTTTCAAAATCATGCAAGAGAAAGAATATTTGTATTTAACAAGCTGGTAACAGTTATTGGTCTTTTTTTTTCAGTTTTATTGAGATATAACTGATGTAGAACACTGTCTAAATTTAAGGTGTTTGCCATAACGATTTAACTACATCAGGAAATGATGACCACAGTAAGTTTAGTGAATATCCATCATCTTGTATAGATACAAAAGAAAAAAAAATTGTTGTTTCCTTGTGATGAGAACCCTTAGGATTTACCTTCTCAGCAATTTTTGTATATAGCCTACAGCAGTGTAAATTTTATTAAGCCTACTGTATGTGAAATCTCTAGTTCTTTTAACTTTAAGTTTGTGCCTTTTGACAATTTCTATCCGACTGTATTTTTTATTTTTTTAAGAGAAGAAAATGCATTAGTTATTAGCAAATGCTGCTCATCCCACTGTCAGTTGCTGAATCCTATAGTTAGTTGTGGGGCACTATGCTAACTTCTGCTATTATTAAAGAAAACCTTGCTCTTTGACTTTAAATTATAGAAAAATAAAGTTTCTATATTGAGAGCCTTATCTGAATCATCACATTGACTTTCATAGGACTTTATAGTTAAAAATTCCTTTTTGGGATTTTCATTGTTTGGGTTATCATTTGGCCTGAGTCACATAAAAATCATATACTGATTCTGTCAGTTGCAAAAGTTTTTTTAAAAATTGGTTGTTACACTAAATGTTACCTGTTCGTATTTGGTTTTAATAAAAGATTGCCTTAAGTACTCGCAAATCCCAGTAGGGCACAACTTCCTGTTTTTCACTACTGAACAAAAACACGCATATTATCAAGGGAAAATTTTGTGTTAGACAGTTTTAAGAGCACAGTGGACATACATTAAATTTAAAGCATGAAAGAAATTTCAAAGCAGCTTCAGAGTTTTCTTTCCAGGCCCTTTTGACCTCCCTGGCTTGAAATAATTCAAGTGACTTCTTGTTCTGCCAGCAGAGGCGCATGCCAAGGCATCGCATGGCGAGCGTATGATTCAGTAGAAAAGACCATCGTGTTTGCCCATTCCTCCTTAGATTGTGAGAGCTTGTGTGCTCACGTATCTGACCAAAATGTCCTTCACTCTTATGCCTCCGTTCCACTTGACAGCTAGGGGCGTATCTGTGGATGGAGAAGCCATAGCAGCCTGCCCCGACTGATCCCGAAGGTCCGTGGGAGAGGGTTTCCAGGGTCTGTTTCCAGGCTCTGCTTTGAGGCCAGACTTTAATAACCTGCCCAGAAACTTAGCTACATGTGTCTGTTCTCTAATTACTGAGATCCTGTAGAAGAATTAAGGACCCATAATGGTGCCATTCAACTTTCACAAAAGAACTTTTAAAAAACTATTAACAAAAATCAATCTCATGCCAAAAACCTAAAATCTACACGTTTAACCTTATACTGTATTCATTTTTTCCCCCCATCTCTCTTGGATGATCCTATCCCTCAAACCTTTTCTTTGCTGTTTTTTTTCCCAAGGTGTAGAGAGGAGGAAAATTCTCTCTTCTGCAGTTACCCTTTAACAAAGAATTTTGTTTTCTTGCTGTGAAGGCTGTGCATTAATTTATAGTATCCTATATAAATATCCTATTTGAATCTATAACATTCTCTTCAAACTTGAGCTTCTTCATTAAAAAGGAAAAATCTCTCTTTTTTTTGTCCTGTTGAGATGCTTTTCAGTATAAGAGTACTAGTGTCATATGTTTGCTATTGTTTCAAGATGCCTGTTTTTGTTTGGTTTTATTATTCACAGTGAGCTGATCGCCATCCAGCAGTCCCACTGTTTGGGTTCTTCAAAATCTGCCTTAAGAGAGGATGAGAAGTTGATAGAGATAGAATCCTCTTTGGATAAAAAGAACTCATCTAAGATTTTGTTAGTCAACAAAGACACAGCCCTGCCCAGTGAAAAGGTTTGTATTTCACTTAGAAATACTCAGCTTTAAAAAAAAAAAGAGAAATACTCAGCTTAGGGACTTCCCTGGTGGTCCAGTGGTTGGGACTTAGCTTTCTGATACAGGGGGGTGTGCGCTTGATCCCTAGTCAGGGAGCTAAGACCCCACATGCCTCATGGCCAAAAAGCAAAGAACATAAGAAGAATATTGTAACAAATTCAATAAGGACTTTAAAAATGGTCCATATTTTTTTTTTTAATCTTTAAAGAAAGAAAGAAATATCCAGCTTATTCAAGCAAGATTTCTCCCCAGGACACTTTTAATTCTCCTGTAACAATATTGTTAGTGTGCTTAATTTTGGCAGTTTTTCAGGTTTTATTTTAGCTATAGCACTTTACCTGCATTATTGAACTGAAGTCATAGTTACTTTCCTTCTGTTTTCTTTAAACATACTGTAGGTTAGCTTCAGGCAAAATGTCCCTCAGGCCCTCCAAGTGATTGCTGTATCTATTTTTAGTAAATAGTTTTAACACACAGAAAAAGAAGAGTACAAGAAGCAACTGTGTATCTACATTCAGATTTAACATGTTTACATTTTGCTGTATTTGCTTTATTTTTCAAGTGTTAAAGAAATAGAATCTTACTGATAAAGAGTAAACTCCATGTGTCATTCTGCCCCATCCCTCCGCTGCCGCCCGCCCACTGCCACCAGTTAACCACTACAGTGAAGTTTGTCCACATTTGCTTTATGCTTTTATGTTTTTCATAAAAGTGTACACTTAAACATCACATACTGTTACTTTGTTTAAAATGTACATAAGTGTCTTTTGTAATGTGATTTTCCAGCTCTTTTTCCCAGTATTTTGTGGCCCTCATCAGTGTTGACATTGTGGACCTAGTCTCTTCATTTTGATCGTTGCTCAATGTGCTGTCCAGGGATTGAATAAACTGTGGTCTGTTTGTTCCACCCCTACATGCAGGCAGTAGGGCTATTTCTCTGTGGGTGTGTGTTCAGTCGCTCAGTCGTGTCCAACTCTTTTCGACCCCATGGACTATAGCTCGCCACGCTCCTCTGTCCATGGAATTCTCCAGGCAAGACTACTGGAGTAGGGCGCCATTTCCTACTCCAGGGGGTCTCCCCCACCCAGGGATAGAACCCACTTTTCCTGCGTCTCCTGCATGGGCAGGCAGATTCTTTCTGACTGAGCCACTCGGGGAGCCCTGAGCTGGTTTCTGCGCTGTCACTATTGTGGCTGAGCCGGTGTCTTTATCATGAACGGGCTCCTGATCACAGCTCTATCGTAAAGAAGATTAGTTCAAGTAATCTTAGTCGTTTGGGGGGTATTTTGGGAAGATATCTGGCTTTGAAAGCATCTGATCTGAGTTCAAATCCCCGTTTTGCTTTGTCTTAGCTCATTGACCTTAATACAGTTATTTAACTTCTTTGAGCCTCAATTTCTTCACCTACAAATTTATAATTAAAGCATCACAGTTGGGGCTTCCTTCGTAGCTCAGACGATAAAGCATCTGCCTGCAATGCAGGAGACCTGGGTTTGATCCCTGGGTCGGGAAGATCCCCTGCAGAAGGAAATGGCAACCCACTCCAGTATCCTTGCCTGGA